GGTTATGGGTGGTACCATCGTCTAAGGTTTCCAGGAGCAAACAGACAGTAGTTGACATCTTTCTGCCTTAATTGCAACCCTGTTGTTTCAGCTGTGTTTGATTGTAAGCATCTGAAATACACCCGAGAGACAGGTCTCAGGGGGCATGTGTTGTCCAAGGGAGGGCCTCCTCCTCAGCTGATGTGCATCTGACTTACAACAGCTCAGCGTGCAGGAGAGAGACAGGTTTGTAAAATCAGAGCCTGCACCTTTAAGGAAAAATTACTTTGTTAGAATAGCAAAACGGCCTCAGTCTGGCCTTATGTTCTAGAAAAAGCTCATTGCTTAGCTGCATTTAATAATCCATGAAACATTTCTATTAGCTTTGGTGTGAATTGTACAATTGCAGGAGTAAAAACAAAGTGAGGAGCAGAAATACAAAACATGCACACACACACAAAAGAAAATAAGTGAGATCTTAAATATTTGATCAAGGCCTCTATTTTCAGGTAACCAGTTACCACCATAAGCTCTCCTACACCAACGGAAGTTATGGAACACCATGCTGAATTATTCAAATGACCAGGGGAACTTTTTTCTTTTTACTATTTTAAATGAGTATGAAGCCTTTCAAGCTAACCTTTACGTAAATATTTAACACAGACACTGGGTCAAATATAAAATAGCAAAATTTCTCAAAAAACCAAGTGGTAATTATTGGATCAGATTATGGAATGCAGTTAAGCCTCTTCACTTTTCCCTTTTTCTGTCCTCCAACAATTTCTTCTAGTGTGGGAAGACCCTGGTCTACATTAGTTGAAAGTCTGAACCTTAGAATGACTTCTGTGTTTATCCATGCTTTTCTTTTTCCATTTACTCAATTCAATTCACTCAGTCCTTTACTTGACACATAATTTTTGAATACTTTCTTGGTCCCATGCACTTCCCTGGTGTGGGAATGCATCAGGAAGAGTCAGCTCCTCTTGACCGTCTACTAAAGTGGGAGACACAGATTTAAAAGGCAGGTTTAAAAGGTTAGTATGAAGAGGGTGTAGGGATCATTATGGGGATCATTATGGCCCAGGATTAATGGGGGAGGGCTGAAGATAGTTTCAACCCTATACCTCATGAGGATGCCAGGCATTGGCTTCCTCCCCTCTCCCAACCTGTCATCAGAAAATTGGCTGCCCCACCATCAACCCTGGTAAAAATTTACTGCCCCGCAGTCATCACACCTCACTCTGACTTTATAAGGTCCCCCTACCCCTACTCCCAGAACCCTGTGCCCCGGAGTATGCAGATGAAGTATCTTTCATTACCCCTGTTCTGGCCAATTGTACATCTCCATACAAACCTTGCTCCTGGAACCTGCCTACCTCCCCAGGGGCATAAACCTCCCCTTCCCAATAAACTGAACCAGTTCTCTGAAGCTGTTCCCTGATGTGTCTTTTCTATGCCCTTGCACTCATTGCTGCTCCTTGCACCCACCCACCCCGGGCTAAGCCCCGCTCCCTCCAATCCAGCTCAATGTGCTGGCTATCCTGAGGAATATATATGTTTGAATGAATGTATGTACACACATATACATATATACATACATACATACATACATACATACATACATACATACATACATATATACATACATACATACACACACACATACCCTGAGAGGCAAGCGTGGTATATGGGAATGTGTCCTTGTGGGCAGCCTGTTGATAGGAAAGCGGGCGGCCGTGAGAGTGGGCAGGGCATATCCATGAACAGGGAGGGAGGTGAGACGTGCTGTGCAGGTCCTGGTGCAGACAGAGCCGGTGCACCTGTGTTAGTTACTCTTCTTGCTGTGTCTGCACACCTGAGCAGACAGTTTAAAAGAAAAAGGATCTGCTTCAGCTCATGGTTCAGAGGGAGGAGGCCACTGTGTGTACATTGGGGAAAACGTGGTAGCTGAAGCAGATGGTGGTGGGAGCTTGTGGTGTGGCTTATTCATTGCTGGCCAGATCAAGAAAAAGGAGGAATGATCAGAAGGCAGTTGCTATCATAGTCAATGCCTTGTGGTGTGGCCTGTGTCCACTAATTATGTGCCATGTTCCAAAGTTTCCACAGCTTACCAGAAAGGCACAGAGTAGGGATCAAGTGCCCAAGCGCAAGCACAATAGAGACACTTTGCATAAAAGCCACAACAGTGTTTAAGAAAGACCAGCAAAACCAAGGAAAGGCCAACGTGCATGATGTAATCCATGAGTGCCTTGGGGGCACACATATGCCTGTGCAGTTCATTGGGGGGGGACTCTGGGTTTTAGCCTAATTGTGATGGAAGCCTGTAAGGGCTTCTGTGTGGTGTGGACTGATTCAGAGTTTTAAAAGGCTTGTTCTTGCTCAACATAGAGGCTTCCTCGTGGAGGCTTGCTTCAATAGCCATAAAAGAAAGACATGGCATGAATGTCATCTCTCTGGTCTTTGGTTGTAAGAGAGCACCCACCTTCTGAAGCACTTGTGGTGGTTGAAAAGCCTGCCATCTTTGGTCATTTTAAAAGTCTATCAGTCTCCTTTCACACATTCTATTTTCTATTCGACCAAAGCTTGTTCATTCTGAATGAGAACTTAGAAGTCAAGGCAAGAATGCCTCTTCTAAGTGCTGAGGTTGGCCAGTCAATGATCCCATGCACAGTTCTTCTGAGGACCAGTTTTTCAGAAGGTCCTCAGAACACAGCCCAAGAGGACCACTCTCAGCTAGCCATCCATCTGATGTGCTCCCACAGAGGGAGACATCCTCAGAACATGTTAGGGGCCGGAGGACGAGAGCAGAGCAGTGTTACAATTTTATGCCTAGAAATAATTTTTGAATTGTTCAAAAACACAAGCTAACTTGTCAGCTCATTTTTTTTTTTTTAATTTTATTCCTTGGGGACCCATCTCCTGCAGATTTTTCTTGGGTGGGATAATCCCAGTATTCTGCATCCTGCCTTCTAGACTACGTCTTTAAGATTACACTCTAGTTCTAATCACCTGTTACATAAGTGTGCTGGCTTTATAATGCCTCCTCACTGAGCGCCTTCTCTGCCCTCTCTACCATCCTCCTTAGTTGCATTCTTATACCTCCTGAACAAACTGCTTTCATTCAACTGCTTGCACTGTAGTTGACCTAGGTACATATTCAACATCAAATCCTCATCCTTTCTGGGTTGGCATCTCCTAGACATCTTCCTTTAATGGACAGGGTCATAGAGAAATTAAGTTTACCCACAAGCTCCTGTTACACTTAGGATCTACTAGTGTGAGCACAGTCAAAGGATCTCAAAGGATCTAATTATTCGCCTTCAGAAGCTAGGCACCTGTCCAGACTAAGTTTCTTAGGCCTGCCTCTCTCTCCAGCATGTTAGCTAAAGCCTGGCTGTTCCGTGATGTTCTTACTGCCCCTCCCCCCCCCCCAAAGCACACATCACTTCTTGTCCAGGAAGCCAGCATTCTCTTCAGCCAGGCCTTGGTCTTAGAATGCTTCCTCTGCAGGAGAATTCATTGTTCAAGCTCTCCTCTGGCTGGCTATGTCTAATCTCTGCCTCCCCAGCCCTAGGCCCTGACCCACAAAGACTTGGCCTTTGGTTAATTTATGGAAGTGAACCAACTTGTGCACCATATGCTACCCATATTCACACACACACAAAAAAATCTCTAAACTGTGCAAACCACCTACGCTGCTGGCACACATACCAACATCATATCCCGAGGACACTGTATACTTACCTATTTTGCCACTTGAGCCCCCTCCAAAGCCAATGAGGTGGAGCGTTGTTTCTGCTGATTACCGGGAAGAAAATTGAAACCTGGGTAGGTAAAGCTGCTTGCTCAAGGTCACTTTATGGGGCGCATTGTACCCTAGGTGCTGAGAAAAGGGCATGGAGACCCTGGGTAGGGAGGTATCCTTTCCCTGGGAACTTAGTGGGGCTACCTGTGTGCCCATGTAGTGCTTAAAGACAAAGGTGTAGGCTTTCCCAAGGGCCTGGGAGAATTGTGAGGGCCTGGAGACAGAAAGAAGGCCCAAAGTCAGCTTCATAAAGCATTCCCCACCCCGAGCGGATTTGTCACTGTGGCGAGGAGGGGGAAGGGGAGATTGAATGTTTAGCAGTGACAAAGCCTTGACACTTCAACTCACTGCATTTGGTGATCTTGATCTTGAAGATTCCTCCTTCCAAGATCCTTGTGAGTGTTGGGCAGTCATGGAGGGTTATGGGTAGGCTGAGGAACTACCCTGCCTTAGCAAATTAAGGTTCTAAATTACGCAAAGACCTCAGGGAGGAGGGCCCGGGCCTCCAAGGATTTGGTTGTAATTTCTTAGCATGAATGAATAGACACACTAGGAAGCCCCAGTTGTATTTTCTTTCTAAAATAGCCTTCATTTTCCCATCCCCCACACCGTATCACTTCAGGACCCCATCCTCCTCAACCTTCATCCTCACTAGGGCAGAGCTGGAGAATAGAGGTGTAAATGAGTCAGAAGAGGGAAGCAGGGGCGCGGGAAGAGAGTAAATCCTCATCTAACACGGCAGAAAGTCAATAGATAAATCAAGAAATCGCTACGTAAGCTCTTTTCTTCTTTTTCTTTCTTTTTTTTTTTAAGCGACCATCAAAAGAAGGGACTGGTAAAAAAGGGCTGTGGGTGGAACAGAGCAGGAAGGGCTTTCGTAGTAAGTAGTTGTTTTTGTACTTTAAGAACTGTTCATCCATTGCTTAATAATTTTTAAGGCAGACTTTTAAAAAGTGAAAGTTAGACAAGTAAACGGAAGACAAAACCTAAAAATAAAAACAAACACAAAGCAGAAAGGCCAAAGGTTGCAACCTTCTTGGGAACCTGAAGGGGGGGGGTACGGGGAACTGGGCGTGGTCTTAGGCGGGCGAAAGGGGCGGAGCTCCACCGGACCCACCTTAGGGGAGGGTGCAAAGCTCAGAGCCGGCTCTCTCAGGCTCCGCCCACAGGGGGAAGCCCGTTGCTCAAGGTCAAGTTCACTCTGGGCCCCGCCCCCAGCCTGGGTCAAGACTACTTCGTCTTGGGGCTGTTTGGCGGGTGACCTGATTCCCACCCTGGTTGAGCAGGTCCCTGCTGAACCCCGAGATTCTCCGGGTGTCGCTGCGGAAGTCTGCGACGCGCAGGTAAGCACAGCCAGCGGCCTTGGCTGCCCGCTTCAACCCGCTGGGTGCCCTGGAGGCCCTAGATCCTGCGCGGTCCTCCGTGGCCCACGTGACTCTCCGCGGCGGCGGCGGCGGCCACTCGGGCACGCGCGCGCGCAGTCGTCCGACGGCTGTGGAGCGCTGAACCTTTGCAGCTCCACGGTCACGCTTCTAACGGACGGAATCAGGCTGACGTGGGTTCGGATCCCTCCTGCAGCACATGCACAATCTGTTAAAAATAAGTGTGTAATAATTACGGTGTGTTCTGCGGCGTTCTTCCTTTGGCCTGACTGTTGGGGTTCCAGGGATTGGGGCCACCCCGCGGAGCTCCGACTAGCGGGGAGACCTACAGCAAAGATAAACCACACTCGTGTTAGTAGGAGCTGTGGAGATAAAAAGCTAGAGAGGTTTTTCTCAAGTTTAACCGAATGCAAAACGTGCTGGAACTAAAGCTATCTTGTGAGTCATGGAGTTCGGTTGGAAAATGTCTGGACGCATTTGCTCGGGAGAAATATGAGGGCAGAGGAAGGAGGTTCAGTAGTAGGACTGGTGGTATACGGAGAGCTGGGGCTTGGAAGTTCCTGCACTGGCTGGATTTCAACTTGACACAAGCGAGAGTCATCTGGAAAGAGGGAACCTGGGTTGTAAAACTTCCCCCTTCAGACTCTTGCTCCCATCAGACTAACCTGGCAACGGGGGGGTGTTTATTAACGATTTTGATGTGGGAGGGCTCAGCCCACGTCCCTTCGTAGGGTACCCCCTACTGGAAAGTTGGTCTTGGGTTGTAAAAGCTAAGCAAGCCATGGAGAACAAGCCAGGAAACAACGGTCCTCCCTGGCCTCTGTTTCAACTCCTGCCTGGGTTTCTGACTTTAATGGGCTGTGGTGTTGGAAGCACAAGCCAAATAAAGGCTTCCCTCCCGAGTTGCCTTCGGTCAAGGCGTTTGTCACAGCGCACCCTTAACCTTGTCCCTGTTCTAAAATAGGATTGCTTGTACTACTGGGAAATGGGTTTGTTGAAAGCAACTACCGGAGCTGTTCCGGACGTTGGCTGGTGCAGCAGGGGTGAAGATGTCTTGCGAGGAGGCTAGCTCCTCCCGACTGAACTTGGGTGTCTCTCTCTGAGCAAGCCTGCCTCCCCTTCCTTAGTCCATTCTCCCCTGACATTTGAGTAGACTGACAATACAGCCTGTTCTCTAAGGTGAGGACTGGTTCATCCATTCCTTTTTGATAGTCTTGGCTCATGCCTTTTCCTTGGCATGAAGGATTCAGAGGAGCCAGATAGCAGACCCGCCCTCCTGGAGCCTGTGCAGGGTTGACCTTGTGCCAGGCTGCCCTCGAGCCTTGTGAGGAGAGCTGCCTTGCTTCTGATTATGTCAGTGGATCTCAACCTTCCTGATGCTGCCACCCTTTAATACAGTTTATCATGTTGTGGTGACATCCAGCCAAACAGTTATCTCATTGCTCCTTTTCTAACTGTAGTTTTGCTACTGTCATGAATCGTTATGTACGGCTCTGGTATGCAATCTATCTGATATGTGGCCCCAAAGGAGTCGCGACTGAGATCTGTGGGTTTAGGTACATGAACTTTACCTGGTCCTGCCAGCCCCAACAGTCCCAGAGCATATGCTCCCAGCTCTTGCTGTCACTCTCTAAAATCAGCCAGAAGATTCCCCAGAGGCAGCATCTCTACTGCTTCCTTGCTGAGGACCCCTCAGAACTTGAGACCAGCTTAGACTTGAGAGATGCTCTGCCCTGCAGGAACACCTGTCAGCTGCTTGGTATTTACACATGTATATTTATACTAGTTCTTTTATATTTTTAAGGTTATAATATAATTACATCATTTTCCCCTTCCTTTTTCTCCCTCCAAGTCCTCCCATATATCCCTCCTTGCTCTCTTTCAAATCCTGGCCTCTTTCTTTATTATTAATATATATATATATAATATGTATATGTAATATATGCATATATAATTCTATATAATATATGTAATACATACATGTTATACATTACATAAATTATATAGGTCTGTATGTATAATATACACATGTATATGTGATACATATATATCTATTAACAACAACTAATGAAAAAAGAGGTTTGGTATACTTTATGCCTTGAATGATCACAATGTCTTTTGTGGTCTTCTCCACAGTATTGATGTAGAGTTGAGATTTGCTCTAAGAGAACAGAATGGGGAGCCAGAGATGAGGGCACACAGTTAAGGGAAGAGCCTGTCACCATTGGTGGTTTGTGGTCAGAAGAGGATTATTAATAGGATGTTGGAAGGAAGTAGCAGCCATGGTGCATTCCTTTTGTATCCCCACAGGCCATGGCAGTATGCTGGCCAAGACAGGAAGAGAGGCTTCAACTTGGCGGGCATAGACCTGCGACTTCCCAGCTTTGCAGCTGACCCAAAGAGGCCACTAACCTTCTGGGTCGTGAGGATTTTATAAGCTTAGCAGGTTCTTGGCATACAGTTCTGCTCTGAAGAAATACTAATCTCCTACCCTTTCCTTTTCCAAATTAAAATAAGAATAATAGTGCCTGCTCTCGAGACCCTTGGGATATGAGTACCCAGAGTACTTGGAGTCAGATCCAGCATGTAGGAAGTTACCACTAGAATTGCCCCATCCCTTATCTCGGCAGACACTGATGAAGTGGAGAGGGCAGTGTGTGTGTGGAGGTGGTGAGGAGCTGGGCAGGGTGATTAGTGGTGTGTTATCTGTGGCAATGGTTTCCTGTGAGAGCACCGGCCTCCAAATGTGCGGCATGTTCTAAATGATAGTGGACCTCTACACAGCCGCCCTACAAAAGGTCCAAGAGTCTGGGAAAACTTGAGCCAGAAAAAAATACAACAGAAGGGGGGAAATGGAGAATTAGACAAAAGGTCTAAAATTGCCTTCAGAGCTTGTCTTTAACTCATGAGTGGATGAGTCCACTGCAAGCGCTACTGTTTTCTAACTGACCTCTTTATGAATATAGTGGCATGGCTAGGTTAATTGCCTGACACTGATGTCATTCACCAAGTGACTCAGGAGCCATGAAGCATCTTAACCCCTGCACTGGGCAGCCATGCCCCAAATATACAAACAGATGAATGAACAAATGAAAATAAACTCCGAGAACTTTTTGAAGTGTGTGTGTTGGGCGTGTGTGTGTGTGTGTGTGTGTGTGTGTGTGTGTGTGTGTGTTAAGTAGGAATATGAAGGCAGAGAAAAAGAACTAATGTGCTTAAGCAGAGAACTAAACCCTTTTATGTAGGAGGCAGCCTGATGAATAACCACATGGCATATCAAATCAGATTACGCAGTCTGTGCCCGAAGTCTTAGCATCTGTAAAATGGGAGTTGTACCCAGCTCGTAGTAAGCAAGATAAAGACATGAAGGGCTAACCCCAGCACACAGATGGGGTGTGGGAAAATCCTCAGTCAGTAATAGCTATTGGAATTTTATTATGTTTATCAATCCTCCCACGGATCACCACTGCCACAAGGAAAATGAAAGTGTGCTGTCACAAAACTGTGGCCTCAGTCCTGAATCAGTTCTCTCTGGTAACAGAGGCACCTCACACAACCAGGCCATGTGTGTGAAGGGCAGCCAACCTCGTGTGTATTTTTCTTATTGCTTATAACACTTGACTATGAGCTAGTTTTTCTTTTATTTTTGAGATAATAATTACATCATCTTTCCCTTCCCTTTCCTCCATTCCAGTCCTCCCATATACCCCTCCTTGTTCTTTTTCAAATCCATGGCCTCTTTTTCCATTAATTGCTGTTGCAGGCATATATTTATATACATATATATTCCTAAATATAACCTGCTCAGTCTGTGTAATGTTACTTGTAAAGGAAAAATAAAACCTGAAAAATCATAATTTATGTGCCTTTTGAGTGCAGGTGTTTTATCGTCTAGATAAATCTTCCATGCATCTATGTTAAAGCACTTCAGGCTGTCAGAGCTCTTAAATAAAGTGGCTTGTCCTGACCAGTGTCTGTCTGGGCTCGTTCATCATCGCTCCCTAGCAAAGATGGACAGATCCCATTTCACAGGGCAGGCCTGAGGCCAGCAGCCCCCACCCCAGGTGTCAGCCATGCAGACCCTAAGTGGGATTGTGTAGACTGCACCTTCCCTCATAGCTGGGGATCTTTTTTCCTTCTGTCTCTGTGGTGCTGGGGATCGAACCCATGACGTCATGCGTGCTAGGCAAGTGCTCTTCTACTGAGCTATGTCCCCAGCCTCAGAATAATAGCCAGGCGTTCCACAGCCAGTGTGGATGTGGGAAGATACTGTGGGGAAATCTGAGTTCTCTGAGGTGATGGCTTGGAGGGTAACTGTGCCTGGCTTGAAGATGCCCACATCTTCTGGAAGTCATAGCTGTCTGGTCTTGCCATCCAAGGGTGCCTGGCCTGTTGCCCAGGGAAGCCCACTCTTTCTGTTGCCCTGCCTCTGGCCACAGCTACCCCTGAAGTCTTGATTTGTGGCAGCTATAGAGGCACAGCTGTGCCAAGGGAGCCCTCCTCAGTCACTTCATAATGGTGGGACACCTGCCTGCAGGTCCCACTGCTACCTCTGCTGGCAGGAGCTCTTCCACAGCTGTGGGGCCAAATGTTCCTGGGTCCCAGCACTGCACTTGGCCCATTGCCCTGCCTCCCTCTACCCTATCCATGACCCTATGGAAAACATTATCTTTCTATGCCTGAATGTTATTAGACTGTTAACATAATTTGCTTGGCCGGAGATGATGACAAGTGGAAACCTTATTTAGAGAGCCGAGCTGCCTGTTTGCCCAGAGCAAAGGACAGGGGCACACATTGGAGGCCCTGACTCCTCCTGGTGGGGAGTGTTTGACTGCCACATAGGCCAGTGGGGAAGGGCTGGATTCCCAGGGCACAGCTTTAATAGGATTGTAATTGTGTGGCTCATGGCCATGGAGCAAAGAAATAGCTCTGGCAATCTCCCTTCCATAAAGGCTGACATG